GATCATATGAAGGTCCTCCCTGAAAAACTCATGATACGATTCAATACAATATGTTACGTACGATTTGATACAATATGTTCAATACAATACGATATAATATGTAACGATTTGATACGATACATTCAATACAATACGATATGATACTTTACAATTCAGTGCGGTACGATATGATAAGTTACAATTCGATACTAGACAATATGATATGATACGATATGTTCAATTAAATATGATATGATACATTATGATTCAATACGATACGTTCAATACAGTACAATATGATATGTTACGATTCGATACGAAACGTTACGATTCGATAGGATACATTACGGTATGATATGATACATTACGCTCAATACGATATGTTACTTTACAGTTCGATATGAGATGATACGATATGATACGATACATTCAATTCAATACGATACGATATGATACGTTACGATTTGATACAATACGTTACGATATGATACACTTAATTGTCCCTTTAGGGAAATTTGTCTTGGACTCCAAGAGCTGCACAGATAAAGCTGCCAAGATGTTGCTCCTCAACCTGTAGACATTGTTTAAAACTAAGAATGCAGCATCTATGATTTTCAATTCTTTGTTGTCTTTGTTGTCCTGACAAAGTAAGTGCAGTTGTCCTTTCCATGTGGTGATTCCTACTCCAGAGTCCTGTCTGTTTTTAATACCCTGAAGATCAGCACTATTCAGTCTTGGCTTTGGTCCTTGTCCCTTTAGTACAGAGATTACTCCAGATCCTCTGAATCTTTGAATCTTCTCAAGTAAGACCAGTTATCCTTTTTCCATGCAGTGATGAGGGTCTTCCCTGAAAAATGTATTGTCTGGATGGCAGCAGATGTTGTTTTCTAAACCTGTAGATATTATTTAAAACAGAGGATGCAGCATCTATGATTTTCCAATTCTTCGTTGAAAAGAATTGTTAGATTTTGATTCATCAGACCTCAGGACAGTTCATGGAAAAGTGATTTTAAGTCCACGCGGTGACTCCAAGTACAGAGTCCTGATGCTCCTAAACCTGTAGATATTGTTCAGCATTAACGGAGCCTTCACAGATGTGGAAGACACCCATGAAGTGGACTCTGATGATCCCCATATCGTCAACAAAACTGGTTTTGGAGCTGGTGGTCCCATTCTTTTGCAAAGTTGAGAATCCAACTTCCAAGATTTCTTCGTTAGACTACAGAATAGTTTTCTACTTCACTTAAGTCCATCTCAAACGGCTCAAATTGCCAGCATTTCTGGTCAAACTGAGCAAGTTGTTACAGGATTAATCTATAAAAATAATAGAGACTAAAAGAGAAACATATAAAACTAAAGGAAATGAAAAAAAGAGCCCTTCTTTTGTGAGAATACTTGGATACCGTCCCTGTAGATCATGATCAGTTCTTAACACTAAACATCATATTTCTGTCCTTCTGAGAAACCTTGAGTAAAGACCAGATGGATATGTTTTCTCAATAACTCTGACTCCTTAAACGCTTGCATACTAACATACATCTTTAACAGCTAGGGGGGAAAAAACACAATGAAAGCTTTAAATGGAAGTTAGAGATCTGAAATCTGAGAAGGGAGCGCCATAAAAAGTGTTTTGTGCGAGTGAAAAATAGATTGAGCTCCTATAGGGGGCTGAAATGTTATGGCAGGTTATGCTGATGACTGGCTTCAGGTCAGCGTTTCAATCTAGCAGAACATCAACATGTTGAAATCCATTTAACATGTAAATCCTGTACAATAGAGGCGGTGAGATGGACTGGATGTGGCTGTGTAACGCAGGATTCCCACTGAAAGCAGAAGAGCCTGCTGCTGTCCTTGGTGCTTCCTGCATGTCAGCACCACGGACAGCTCCCTCCCTCTCTCGCTCTCTCTCTCTCTCTCTCTGCACAGGTGAGTGTCTCTTGCCCTCTGAGTGCACAGCAGAGCAGAACAAACAGGGTTTTTTTTTTCATTCTTTCTGCACAATGTAACGTGACTGCATTCAAACACGATTTGGAGTATTTGCTTCACATGTTCTTTTTCCCACCGTCTCCTTTTCTGAATCCTCCCTCCTCACCCCTTCTCTCCCTTTTTTTCTCCCTCTAAAGGGCGTTCAGATAATTGGGCTAAACTCACTCAGCTTGGTTTTCACAAATAGCTGAAACATGCAGGTTAAACCTTGAGCAGATCTCCTCAGTTTGGCCCATTGTTGGCAGGAAAATAGTAATTATGTGAAGGCTTTTGTAACCGTCTATCTGTCAACACAATATTGTGGAAATGTGGGAAAAAAAGAGGAAACAAAACAAAATAAAATAAGGATTCAACATATGGTTAGTTACGAATACTAACAATATGAGTGTATGAGGGTGAATGTGTGGGAGTTGATGTGGTTTATTATTATGAGAAAATGATTCTTATTGTATTCAAAACATAGAATAAGAAATGGAATTCAACACAGCATATTTATATTGCAAGAAAAGGTTTAAAAAGTGTCTGTTTTTCTGATTTATAGGGTAAACTCAGCTGCTTTTCCGGGTTTTATGGTATTTTTCTTCTTTTTTCTGAAAAGGTCCAGGTTTCTGCCTCATTATAGGATTTTTTTTTACATTGTTGTTTTTGATTTTTCTTTTTCTGTGGCGATCATAATCCTAATCATATTTGTGGCTATCGTGATAAAAAGGAGTGAAACATTTTAACTAATTTGGCTTTTTATTTTGGTGGCTCCGGCCAACAAACTGAGAAAAAGTGAGATTTTGATGTTTAGGGTAACATGCAATTGAGTTTCGTCATGACAGTAACAGCTTAAAGTAAGTCTTGGAAAATGAGAAAAATACAGAATGACTGTACTTGTTTGTTATTTTTCCAATAATCTGCCTTAGTGCATTTCATGTGTGTTATCTTGAATTAATTCAACTTAAATAAATAGATAAACATGATTTGCAAAGAAAAAAACAAAGAAATAAGTTGTACCAGCTCTCCTGATCCAAAACAACATCTACCAGATCAGAAACAGCTTCACATTTAGGAACCAGCAAAGTCCTAATGTACCAGAACCAAAATCTACAAACTCAAGCATGAAGGCTATTAAACATTTAAACTGCCTTATTACATAAAGACATGAGTTTCTCATTTCTCATTTCCTCAAGTTTGATTTGGTTTTGATGAGTATGTGGCATCTTGACAGCTTCTGTCAAGATGCCACGGTGGCCTTGAAGGTCAAATGCATCAAGATGTCATGAAAACGAAAACAATTTCACTGAACACACACACACACACACACACACACACACACACACACACACACACACACACACACACACACACAATGAAAAAAAAAATTTCACACAATATTTTCCTGAAAAGGTTTTTTTTTAACTCAAGGTGAACTCACTTTTAACTCAAAGTGAAATCAGAAAAGGCAGATTTATTTTGTCATTCAAAATTAATCCTGATATTATAAATGTTAATCTAAAAAATGTATATTGTTTGATACCTCTTGGATCATGAGGATGAAAAAAAATCATAGCCCCTCAATTTTCCACCCCTTTGTCAGGCCCTGATAGTCCTCCATACAGGTGAGCTTACAGATAGATAGATAGATAGATAGATAGATAGATAGATAGATAGATAGATAGATAGATAGATAGATAGATAGATAGATTCTCATTAATCTGCTTCTCTAAATGTTTTTAATAATCTCACAAAATGCCATCCTGATCCAAAAGAAAATGTCATGCATAAAGATCAAGGAAAATTAAGGATAAAAACATGGCCTGAAGTGAATTTCTGTCAAATATGATTTAAAACTGATAAAAACACATCAAATGGAAATATTGTTGTATCCAAAATTTTAAAATATGATCAAGAGACATTTTAGCAGCAACAGTTTGGCCTTAACTGAAATTACGGGTGCACACAAGGGGTCAAAATATCAGGTCAGGGGTTACAGTAGTTATGTCAATTTTTATAATGACACTTTAGTATCAAAATAATACAGTGGTGCAAATAATCCATGAGGGAACAAATTAAAAAAAAAAAAAAAACATAGCCCCCCCCAATTTCCACCCCTTTGTCAGGCCCTGGTTGTCCTCCATACAGGTGAGTTTACACATAGATAGATAGATAGATAGATAGATAGATAGATAGATAGATAGATAGATAGATAGATAGATAATCTGCTTCTCTAAATGTTTTTAATAATCCCACAAAATGAGTGAAATTTCACACCTCCTGTCATTCACCTGAACTCTCAGTGGGGTGGGATCAAACCTGCTTAAACAGCCTCTCTCCTCCTCCTCCTTCATGAATTAACGCACGGCCTGTTTGCTTAACTGGAACTAACAAAACGAGTGTGTTGGTAAATATTTGAAATCCCCTCTTCGATTTGGAGGCCAGTGTGTTAAAGCAGCGGCTGACCAGCAGGCTCTCCCTATTGATGAGCTGCAGTTAATCCATCGCATTTCCCTGTAAATAGCTTTCTGCATGAGAAAAGGCCCGCGGGCCCCCCCTCCTCTGCTCACTGTAATGCACAAGCGTTTTGTCACAGGGCCATTATAAGGTTGTGTAGCATTAGCCCCCTTGTTCGGCTACTCCCACTCTCTTTGCAGCTATTCACATGCAACCCAGGAGCCGTTTTCCAGACGGCCTCCCCGTGCCTGTTGTGCAGGTATTTCCTCACCTTCACTGCGTCTTTTACGCGCACTTTAAGGTCTGATCAGAAAGCTGAAGGGATTTTTTTTTTGGATACACTTTCACCCAACGAACTCACTGATGTCTCCATGAAAGCGTCCACATGCAGCCTGGCCTCTCAAAGCTGCATCCACGGCCCTGGTATTTCTCTTTCCACGGCGTGTGATTCAGGCTGCGCTCGGAGGCTACAGCTAGGAGCGTGTAACCATAACAACTGCGCTCTGATTGGCTCTCCTGGCACGGGAATTAACAGGGGCGTCATCCAATGTGAGCGCAGGACGCGCGCCGCGCTGGCAAAACCTCGTGATGAGCCAGGCACAGTGATGCTGAAAGTGGCGACGTGAGGTGAGCCTGAAGGAAATGAGTGGACCCCCCAAAACAAAGCACAAGCGAGGGCGGAAATATCATAAATAAACCCCTTTTGAATTATGATGTTTTAATAGTTTGAGCGCGTGAGAAACATGCCCGGTTTGTCCGTCAGCTGGCGCGGCTGAGTCTCTCCTCCTCCTCTCTGGATTTTTGGATTGTGACAAGTGCCAGGACTGGAGCCCAAACAGGACTAGGACTACAATAAATCTAAAGGATTGTCATCCTGCCACCTTTGGAGGCTTGTCCAGTTTTCACCTGACAGTACACACCACCCGGAGCCAAGACGTTGCTCCCCGTAGAGCCGGGTCGCCCCAGTCCGAGCAGCGCAGTCCGTGTGGGCAGGTCGGCACTCGGCGTCCTGCAGGCCGGAGTCATGATGGTCCACTGTGCCGGCTGCGAGCGGCCGATCCTGGACCGGTTCCTCCTCAACGTGCTGGACAGAGCCTGGCACGCTAAGTGCGTCCTGTGCTGCGAGTGCAACTGCAACCTCACCGAGAAGTGCTTCTCCCGGGACGGGAAGCTTTATTGCAAAATGGACTTTTTCAGGTAACAAGAGGCCACAAAAGCCCGGCTCTGAAACGGCACAGATTTTAGATTATGAGGGAATTTAAAGGGAAGTAGTAGTGACTAAAAGAAAATGTCATGCGTAAAGATCGAGGAAATTTAAGGATAAGGACGTGGCCTGAAGTGAATTTATGTCAAATATAATTTAAAACTGTTAAAAACGCATCAAATGGAAATATTGTTGTATCCAAAAATTAAAAAACAGACAGGAGAAATAAATAAAACATTTTAGCAGCAACAGTTTGGCCTGAACTGAAATTACGGGTGCACACAAGGGGTCAAAATATCAAGTCAGGGGTTACAGTAGTTATGTCAATTTTTATAATGACACTTTAGCTTAAATATAATACAGTTATAATTGTAGATTATTAACCACAAACAGAGTTGATGATCTTTTATAAAATATCTCTTGTTATTATTTGTCTCTGCAGTCACATCATACAATTTTTAAAAAAGGCCATTAAAAATATAAGTCCATTTTGGAGGCACGTGTGGGCATTTTAATTCCATTTTTTCCACGTGCAGTCAACACTTTCCCAAAACAGCCATTAGGCCATTAACCGGTTCACAGTTCCCAAAAAGTGTTTCAGGTAATTGAGTGAGAAGTGAAGCCCTTGTTTCTCCCCCCCTCCCCCCTCACTCTCCCTCTTAGCATCATTTTCATTTCTATGTGTGCGTTATTTTCTCCCCCAAATTGTCTAATGACATGTAAGACACATTAGCCTTTTTTTGTGTCTTTTTTTGTGTGTGGGGGGACTGTCGGGCTGTGGTTGGCCTCGCGCGGCCTTGTCCATCATATTACTGCAGGTCCCATCAAGCGCTGGATTTAAATGGGTGAGCCATTAGCCGGGCGAAACAGTAATCACCCTAATATGTCCATTTGTTGTGTAAGTAGAGTTGTGCCCTTTTCGCTTGAAGGGGGGAGGCTCGGCCATGCATGTGAAAAAAGAGGGAGAGTGAAGCGATACCATTGCAAATGGAGGGACAAGCCTACATTAGTGTTAAAACAATGATGCACAAAGGGAGAGCTTGCTTTCGCCCAAAGGTTTAAGACCCCCCCTGTCACCTCCTCCGGGGACTGGAAATCCAGGTAGGTCTTTTTGGCAGTGGGAGCCTCGAACAGAAATACCTGAAAATGTCAGTTTTTTTTCTTTTCTTTCCTGGCAAATCGGGCGGTGACTTCATCCACATGTATTTATTTGATTGTGCATCAGACTGATGAGTCCTCCTCCCGCCCTGTTTGTCTCATATTGAAGCGGGTGAATATGGATTAAGAGCAGATTTCCACGCTAAGATGCTCCCACTCTGCCTAATCCTGTAATATATCCTCAGCTACAATGTGTTGATTGTCACTAATACGTTTTGCGTGGGGTTATTGTCACAGAACCTCCATCAAAATAATGAGCTGGCACGCAGGTTTTACGCATCCTTTTGAGGAAATAAACGCCTAAACTTGGTTATTATCGACATCTTTTTTGGTATATTGTCCTTTAAACGGCTTTTACGCACATCTCCATTTAGTGTGTGAATAAAATTTTTATTCAGAATTTGTTTATTGTGAAAAAAAATTAAGCAGATCTTAAATATTTTAATGGAACAGACCCTTTAAAGTAGAAGCAAATATTTGTTATTGGAGGATATTTTGTTTCACCTTTTATAGATAATTTAAAATACTGATTTGCGCATTATCAAGTTTCTGCATTTTTGGACCGTAATGAGGAAAAATAAGGAATGAAAGTGCTGTTTTAATTTAATCCTCATGGACTGTATTAATATATAAGTATTGTGGATTAATCAGATGCCTTTTATTAGCATTAATGCGCACAACTGCAGACAAAATAGACCGTATTTTTGGCTCAGAATGACAGCATTTTGGCTATTGTTGCTATCCAAAGTCATTAAAATATAATTCTGTTTTTTGTTTAGTAATATAAAATAAGTGTAAATATTATTGACTGTATGTGGTGTTTTTTTTTCCAGGCGGTTTGGCACAAAGTGCGCGGGGTGCCTGCAGGGAATCTCGCCGAACGACCTGGTGCGTAAAGCGCGCAGTAAGGTGTTCCATCTGAACTGCTTCACCTGCATGGTGTGTAACAAGCAGCTGTCCACGGGAGAGGAGCTCTACGTGATCGACGAGAACAAGTTCGTGTGCAAAGAAGATTATTTGGGCTCCGGGGCCATTAAGGAAGTCAACTTGAACTCAGGTTAGCAGCACAGTAACGAGCAGACAAATGTGCACGATTTTCTTTTTTTATTATTTAGAGGGAATATGATTTTTTTTTCTACTAAATGTGATACTTGAGGAACAAAAGAGAGGGGAAAGGCTTGAAATGTAAGATATTCTGAACATTTGGAGGAGTCCGTGGAGAGCATTTCAAAAACAACCTTGTCAGCTGAGTGCTTTCAGTATTTACCTTTCACAGGACAATGGCTTTCTGTTATTGTACGCCAGGGTCCACTGGGAATGTTGGGTAGTGTGCTCGTGAGTGCGCCTCCTGTTTTCAGTGTCTGCTTATCCACATATGGAGCTCAGGAGGACATGCACACGGACTGTATTTCCTTTAGGGCCACATTTCTCTAAAAAAATATTCAATTAACTTTAAATTGTTGCTGAAATCCTCTATGAAGGATCGCGTTTTCCAAGTAATTCACGCGCCAAATCTGGAAAGATTAAGAATTGAAAGCATTTTTAAAAAAAAGACAAAGAAAATCCGACTATTTGTTTTAATAAAAGAGACAAATTTTCACTTAAAAATCTTCTTTTTGGACGATTTGATCCAATACTTCGAGCGTTAATTGGCAGCATGTTTCCAGGTGTGTTGCGCATCTCCAGGCCTAATTAAAGCCCCCCCTCCTCTCCTCTTCCTCTCCTTTTCCTCTCTGACATTTCGGATCGTGACCTTCCTCTCCCCTGTTTGTCCCCCCCACGCAGTGTCGTCGTGTACGGATAGGAGTTTATCGCCGGATCTTCAGGACCCGATACAGGACGACATAAAGGAGACGGACAATTCCACGTCCTCAGATAAGGAAACGAACAATATTGAGAACGAGGAGCAGAACTCGGGCACCAAAAGGCGGGGCCCCCGGACCACCATCAAGGCCAAGCAGCTGGAAACGTTAAAGGCCGCGTTTGTGGCCACGCCGAAACCCACCCGGCACATCCGGGAGCAGCTTGCCCAGGAGACCGGACTGAACATGCGTGTCATCCAGGTGAGCTCCAGCTGTGTGTGACACAGTGTGTGTGTTTAATTGTATGTTGGTGCTAGAAGAGGCTGTGGGTCTTTGTGTGAGAGACAAAGACACATTAGAGAGAAATGAGGGATTATAAATCAGAGGAATTACTTGTTAATTTCACTCTGAGCTTTAATTGAAGGTCTCCTTATCTGCAGGAGAAAAAGTCCAAACATGAAGAGATCTATTAACACCTACTCCACCCGGACCTGCACGAATTTTAACCTGTTTTTATCAAATATCCCTTAAAAATGCATAAAAAGATGAACACCTCTGACTATAGATGCTCTGCAGACAGTTTGCATTTTATCTTCTTCAACAAAAGTGACACAAATGCTTATTGGTGGTATTGATTTGTATTTACTTCCAAAAAAAGCATAAAAAATATAACAAAAAATGAGTCAATGAAAATTCACAATTTTATTTTAAGTTAAAGATCATCTTTCTGACAGGAAAGAGCATTTAAAAAATAATTAAAGTGAAAAAATATTTAAAAAATGTAAAGAAACTCCTTCTCTTGGGCTTGGCTTGTAATCTCTGTTGTTGACTTTTTCCTGTTTCTTAGTCACTCAGGCCAAACTGACTTTTCATCTGTAAGGCATTAAAGTGACACAGATGCTGTTCAGGTTGTATTTATGTAAAAAAAAATGATTAATTCTAAGTAACAGACATCCATGTTGAGAGAATAAACTGCACTGTTTTGGAGATTTCTGCAAATTTACTGAATATACTATCTGTGCAGGCTGCACAGGTTTGACAGTATATGTTAGTGAATTTGCTTGTGCACTGATGATGAAAAAAAAAACATCTTAAATTTTAATAATAAATACCTTTAGAGAAATCTCTAAGGTGGCATTTTTGTGAGTTCTCTCAGATCAAACAGCAGAATAAAAATCTACACTGTAAAAAGTTAATCAGCTGTTTTAAATGATGAGGCTCAGTGTCCAGACTGCCTCATATTCTGAGTCTGAGACTGTAAATATGACTTTTCCAGCCAACTGGACTTTTGCTCTTTGGCTTGGGTTAGTTTTTCTGCACAGTGTTGATGATGGCCAAACTGGTGTGCAAACCAGTAACCTCTCAGCTGTGAGGAAACATGTGTGACTACTGCTCAGGCGGTTTAATTTTGATCACAACGTCAGAAACTTCTAATTTGGGTTGATGAAAATAAAAAAAACAGACACACAGACAATGTAAGCTGCTTTTGTAAAATTTACTGAAATAAAATGACAGAAAAACCTCAAATATGATGTTTACACTCTAAAAAATTCAACTGTCAGGTTTAGATTTTAGATGTATTCGATCTGAGGCGAGCAGATGTGATAAATTTGTATAGATCAGGACCTAAAAAGCTTTCCTAGTTTGTTGTTCTGCTTCTCTTTGCCTTAATTTGTATTGACAGATTAATTGCTCTGTCAACAAGCGTTTCTTTGTCATTTATGACCAAACTGGTCTGCGAACTAGTGACTCTGTCAGCTGTGAGGCAACAGCAGTGACCACTGCTCTGTTAAAACAGGATTGCATGTAGGCTGGTCAGGTTGTATTCTGTCTTTTTGCATCATTTCCCTTCTATGGGAGTCTAAAATGAGGCTAAACACCTTTATAGAGATAGATTATTTCAATTAATTAAGAAAAAACATCATTTTTGAGTTAAAGCTGTCACAGCAGCTGCATTTGTTGGATTTTCCTCCAATAAAACGGTGGAAAACTTCTCTAAAATGATACTAACACTGTAAAAAACGAACTAAAGGCTTAGCTTGTATTCATATCTTCATTATTTTGTCTCTCATGGCCAAACTGGTTTCCAAACTGGTCAGTTTGTAGCTGCAGGACAATGGCAGTAACCTCTGCAGCAGAAGCCTGTGCATACAGAGACATTTAAATATTCAAGTTGACTTATTTTATTCTTTTTTATCCAAAACAATGTAACGCATGTTTTGTGTACAAACAAATGCATTCTTCTTTTTCTCCTTTTTGCACAATTATATTTTAGTTTCTCAAATTTAATCCTTTATTCCTGTTTGTTTCCACTTTCCTCGTTGCTGCATCTGTCTGTCTGCAGGCGCTTCCTTCTGTCTGTGAAATTAAGATCTTGTAATCCAATTTCTTGATGCACTGATATTACGTTAAATACTGTTTTTTTTTTCCTTTTTGTTCTGAACAATAACCCACGTGTTTGTTTCGGCTGCACAGCCATGAAATTAATGAAAGGTTTCATTTTGTTTTTGCCAAAAGCGAGAGAGGAACCCCTGCACCACACAAACACACACAAACACACACACAAACAAACATGTTCTGCAGCGAAGCACACTGTTTTTGGACCTGTCTCAAACACACACACACACACACACACACTCATGTGTCCGGGTGCAGACTGTGTCAGGATGATTAGCACCATCTCTGCCAACTGTGATGTGGCTTTTTGTGCACTCGCTGTAATTATCGCTGATTTCACAGATTTACATACCACCCTCCCCTTTCCCACCTCTCTGCCTTTACTCACTTACAGCCTGCTGCCTTCGCTTATTAGAGCAGACCTCATCTATATCATACACTGCAGCCCGTGATTGTGTGTGTGTGTGTGTTTGCGCATCAACACAACTCCATCAATCAGTCAGGAACGTCCTCCCCTCCACCCGTCCATCCCCGCCCGCCCGGCCTTGTGTTTTTCTAGCTTGGAGCCAAAATGGAGTCTCTGTTTCGTCATCCTCCTCCTCCTCCTTCCTTGTTCCCTGTGTGTTAAATACCACTGCTCTCAACACGGGGAGCCCGGAGAGAGACACGCACACATGCACAAACGCACGCACGCACGCACGCACTCCTGTATGTGTGTGTGTGTGTATATGTGTGTGTGTAATCCGTAAGCAACGCTCTCTGGAGGGGAGCGAGAGCATTTCCATAAAAATGTACCCTACAGTTAGACGATTGTTCTCAATAAGCAGGTGTCGCCTTTGCCTGCTGGAGCACACAGAACACAGCCTAAGTGGTTTTAGGTGTTTTTTCTCCTCTGGTGTGTGTGTGAGCGTTTTGTGTGTGTGAGAGTGTGTGTGTTTTGTTAATCTGCAGCACAGTGGGATTCTGCCTCTGGTGTAGCCTCGCTGGGGTTGAACATACATCATTATGCAGCAGTGATGCAAGATGTGTTATGTGCTTATAATGCAGACATTCTTCCATATGGTGTGTGTGATGGTTTTAGTCCTTCTGAAATCCTCCTTTGTTCCCTCTTCAAAGACGCTTTATTTAACAGGAGTGATGAGCCTTTTTAGACTCTGATTTACGGCTTTGACTGTTTATTTGAGCGAACGCCGAGGTGCATTAGGGTTTTACATTTATATTGCTTTGATTTGCATGTTTATTTTAAGTCTCAACGACTGAATGTCAGAGTGTTTCTGTTTTGATTTCGGCCTACTCATGTCTTTTTTATATTTCCATCAAGATATGATCATCAAATGCAACATCTTTACACTGATAAAATCAAGGTGATGTGGTGTAATTCCTATCAGAGCTGCAGGATACAGAAATAGATCCAAGGCTGTTATTCTGACAGGTAGACTTTGTTTGGTTCAAGTCTTGCAGGAATAATCATTTAAGCATTACAGTATATTTTTTAAGGTTTGATGATATTCCAAAAATATAAACCATTTATTTTCTTAAATAAATGGTTTATTTCAGCACTAATAGAGTACGCTGCTGTAAAAATGTTTGATCATGTCTGTCACCATCACCTGTGTGACTCTAAATTTATAACAGACTGGAGCTTCTTCTCACCTGAGTCAGCACCAAATGCTCCTCAAGCTTTTTCTTCTTAAAGCTGCTGTGAGGAACTTTTGTCTATCTCAACATTGGCACACCCCTGTGGACAAAGCAGACTTTGCTTTTCTTGTCCTCTGTTTGTTGAATAGAAACCTTCGGCTGTCAAATTCATAAACGTAAAAATTCAAAACTGCTCGTTTGACACCTGATGTGAAAACCATCAATCTTTTGCTGATGGTCTTGTTTGCTCTAGTATATGATGAAAAGGCATGAGCGGGAATTCAAGTCTGTTTCATAAATGTGAAAAAACTCCTCATAAGAGCTTCAAAATGCCCTCAGATTGTTGCATTTAAATCTCAAGTGAGCACACAGCTGGTAAACTTTAATTATGTTAAATCTCACCCACTCATGAAACTTGGTGATTTCAAGATTTTCATTTTGAGTCTTAATCTACGTTTTTAAAAAAAAGGAGCTTAGCCAGCTGTTAACTTCTATTACAACTCTTTTTTAAAACAATACAGGGATCACTTGAACAGGATAAAGCAATCTAGAGACTAACCAGAAAACAAGGAGTGAATGCCAGTTTTCTTAATTGTGTCTTATTTTACCAAGTATTGGTAATAAAAACTCCCAACAGACCAAACCTGAGGGAAGGAAGAGGGTCTAATGCGAGCTATGGTGGTATGTATCCCCTCTGATTAGTTGAAAGCTTCCATGAGGAGTTTTCTGATGTTTACGAAAGAGACTCAAATCCATCTTTTAATCATCCTTTTAATGATACAACAAATCAAACAAGGCCGTGAGTGACAAGATTGGAGATTTTTTATCCTGAACTTATCATGTGAAATTGGTGCAAGGGGATAGGTCCGAGCCAAGCAGCTGAAGAAGGAGTTCTGATTTGACAATTTCTGCATAAAATATTCCCAATGAGTGACACATTTGGTTGTCAAAAATCAGCGGGATGAGATTTGTGGTCATAAATGACTACTCAAGCATGCAGAGGACAAGATAGGCAAAGACTGCTTTGTCCACAGGGGGCGCCAAAGTTGGCACAAATCAAAAGACCCTCACAGGAACTTTAAATCAATCTTACTGTATATCCAGAATCCAGAGTCCAGTTGAACCAGTTAGTGATCCTGATGAGATTTCTCAGTGTTAGATAAAAATACATGTATATCATCAGCATACAGTGTTATTATGTATTATACTTCAAATATGTTCACTTTGTTTAGAGGGAATTGTTCTGGTAGCTCAATGGCTGATGCAAACAGGAGGCATGAGAGTGGACAGCCCGTCTATAATCACTCTCCATATAAGAAAGTATTCAGATTTAAATCCACTTTAAAAAACTGTAATTTCATATTTTTTTGTAAATCTAAATTTGCAGTTGTTTCTCTTCCACTTAAACCAGCTGATTGAATGACTTGAATAGCCTACAATCTACCGGAAGTAGCTCTTCAAAATAAAAGCATAGTTTTAGAATGTAGGAAATAAAGCAAACTAAACGCAAGCAGATCAAACATCAAAATAAAAGCATGACAAACATTTGTTTGATGAGGCAATATCTCCTCTAACGAAGTTTCAGTTACCAGGCTGGTGACTTGTGTTGTTTTGAATCTTAAGTTTTCTATAAATATTACTACGATGTTGCTATTGTGATATTTCATGGTCTTGATAACTGTGAGGTGAAAAGTTGATACCATCACAGTCCTAGTTTATAACATAATTAAATTGCAGGTTGGCATTTTTCTTTTTCCATCTGTTTAAAGCTCCTGTTAGGAACCTTTAATTTTTCCTCAATTTTGGCGCCCCCTGTAGTCAAAGTAACCTTCACTTATCTTGTCATCTACATATCTTAGTATTGTTTTCTGACAATAATCTCACACTGCTGACTTTTAAAAAGCTGTTGCTCCAACCCCAGCTGACACTTAGCCCCCTCGCACTAATTTCATGCATAAAAAATTAAGATACAAAAATCATCATTCTCGTCACTGAAGGTCTTGTTTGCATTGAGACATCATAAAGAGGCTTCTATATGAGTTTCAGTCTATTTCTTTAACCCCCTCAGAAAAACTCCTATAGATACAAATACAAGCATATCATCAGCATACAGTGTTATTTTGTATTATATCTCAAATCTGCTCACTTTGCGTAGAGAAAGAAAATAAACTATTGCTTGTAATACATTTATTTCTTTATAAATTGGGATGATGATGTGTCTTATTGTATTTCTTTGCCCTTACCTTAGTGTCATAAAAACATGACAACCAAAGCCCCTCCCCCTTTTAATCCTGATTTAAGTGAATATATCATCTTCAGCTGGCTGTAATTGTCCTCTCTGCATCGTTTCATAAATACATATTTATAAAACTTATTTATTAGAATATTTTAACTGTATTTATTGTTTTACAGGGTTATCTTGTGCGCTACGTTTGTTTGATGTTACACTAAGTTTCAGAAACTGATACAGTCCTTGCACCATTACCCCAAATTTCCCTCAGGAGCAGTAGTTCATCTGTATCTTATCTGTAAATAAATGTCCTGTATTGCATTCAGAAAGCACAGCTTGAATATTTATGAGACAGGAGTGGATCATTTTTGCCATTTGAAGGTCTTCAATAAAAGTACTTTTCAGGCTTTCAACCTTTAGCGTTTTGATTGATTTATGGTTCTAAGTCAGACTCTGTAACAGTGAGCATGAAATTGGAAAGTTAAGTGAAATCACCTAAAATGATCAAGATTCAAATGAAGCTGATAAATATTAATTTGTTTTCAATTCTGTCTGCTGTGCTTCCTGCTTTTTTTGTGCTCGGTGCAACAGACTGAGTCTTGTAACGGTTGTGATGAGATTCTGATTCCAACATGATTTATACTCTTAGCATGACACAGTGGAGGTTTGAGTGACAGGCTGATGGAGGATCGCTGAGGTGCAGACAGAAACCTAAAAACAGGCGGTAACGTTTGGAGGCGTCAGCTCTCATCCTGTCTCTGTGGTTTGGTGCAGGTTTGGTTCCAGAACAGGAGATCCAAAGAGCGGCGGATGAAGCAGCTGAGTGCTCTAGGGGCTCGGAGACACGCTTTCTTCAGGGGCCCAAGGAGGATGAGGCCCCTGGGAGGCAGGCTGGAGGATCCAGACATTTTAGGACCTGGAGCCTACGGTTACTACGGAGGTAGGAAATAACAAACACAAGCTTATTATCATGTTTTTCAGCTGCATTAGAAGTTAAAGCATGAGAGCAGTTTGTCCTCATGAACCGTTTCTACTCCCACCTACAAAAAAGTGTTAAATTGTAATAGTTGATTTATTAAACCCACACTTGGATAGTCTGACCTCCTAGCGATGCACAGCAGGGCGCTCCGGGTATTTTCAGGCAGAATTCATGATGTACAGTACAAAAACCATGAAACCAAAAGAGCCTTGAGCCAGACACTTCCAAAAAAACACTCAGAGATTCATTTAAAGCAATTCCTTTAAACTGTTGCATAATATCAGCCTGTAAAATATGCTCAACAATAACTTTAAAAGATACTCTTGGCTGGATAGGTTTCGGCACTCAGTGGGTTTAAAAACAGACCCTTCAGGGTTCATTGATAAGTTAAAACAAACTCTAAAAGATGCTTTACACAATGTTTTTAAACTAATGTGCAAGAAAAACCTGAAATGGATGCTAAAGGGAACCTAAAAACAGACAATAATGTATTATTAATACACTTTTGAACCACTTAAAGACTTTCTAGGGTCTTTTAAAGGAAACTTGTTGGTTTGTCACAGGGTACTCTTTAAGTGTCGAATCAGCTGTACCTCAAAACAGACAAGGGTACCTTAAAATAACTGCGAATAGGCACCCAAAATAAATGCTTATTTGTGCTTTAAATGGACACTTTAAAGTAGCTTGAAATAGAAGGAAAATGATACCTGAAAAAGGACCTCCTACAGTACCTCATCAGATGCTCAGGTATTCCTTGAAACAGCTTCTTAAGGGCAACCCCAAACCAATTAAAGTAGATTCATCAATTTTGACTCAGGCTTTTAAAAGATATCAAGTTAGGAAGAAATCTAATAAATTTTACATCCAAAAGATGCTTTAAACACCTTTAGAGGAGCAATATGGCGCTAAATAAACAGGCTCAAACACAGATGCTAGAGGGTACCTCAATACAGAGGCTTAATTATCTTTACAAAGATACTGATGCACCTTGGAGTAGATGTCCCTTTATTATAATGGTGAGGTGTAATTAAAATAGGAGAAGATACAGGACTCTTGGACCATCATTATTATTACTTTGGGGTATTTGAATGAAATGCTCGGGTAGCTTGAAACAGTTGGTCAAGTCAGGTTTATTTTGTTACTTTAAAGCCATAAAAAGTGGTTTGTGCAGGTACTTTGAATACAAATTAATCTGAGTACGTTCACATGATATTGTTAAAATGTTGGACAGGGATACTTTACAAAATAAAAGGGATCTTTTCTTCTTATTGTGAAATAACAGGCACTATTTTTCCAACTAAATTATAATGAATAACCCGATTTCTGACAAAGTGAAACTACCAGCAGCACCACTAGCCTTACATACTAACATCATCCTCACTTTGTACCTGCGGTGCACCACAGAAAAACTCCGTTTCTGTTAACACGGAGGCTCTTGTGGTTTTCTTTCATCTGCTCAGCTTTTGTACCAAAGTATATGATCCATTTATTTTACTCCAGCCTTGAGCACTATTCACTCAGTAAGCAGACGGTCTCACTTCTATTTAAAAAAAAAAAAAAATCCTTACAGCACTTTTGTTCACTAATCAACACGCAGGAGTGAGTCTGGCTCATGTTGGTTTTATCAGAGGAAAGTGGCGTCATTCTTCAGGTGTGTGCTGAAGCATGAAAGACTAAAATCACAACGACGTGTTTGCCGTTTCCAGAATGGAGAAATTAAACAATATGAAGAATCAATTCTGGAGATGTTACACTTTTTATTTCATGTGATATTTTTTGTTTTTACTAGATGAAGTTGTGCCCTTTAACCTTTCACAAGTTATAGCGTTTGAGCTCTCGTCTTGAGCGACATTCTCTCTGTTTTTCCACATGCAAATGAGTTTTTTTTTCTCAGACAACTTTTAAAATTCATGCTCTTATTACTACTGCTCAAAATTTCAGGGTTTTTCAGAGAGGTTAGCAACCATCTGCTGCTGTAACAGCAGCGGTTTTTCCTTTTCAGAAATGTTTGGGGTCCAGTAGCTCCTCATATTGCTCTCACCTGAACCAAACCTGAAAACTGAAAGCTTATCAGGTCTCGTAAAGTAATTTTGATTAAACTAATGTTGCATGGACATCAGTAGTCTGTCTTATAAGGCTTAGACACAGAAGCTAACGTTTTGCCAGTGTCAACAGGCTGATGTTAAATCCGTCTTAATGTGCATTTATTTGATACGAGGTGTGTGATCAGGTTTCGACCAATCATAGCCTGGTAATAAGTAAGAACGTTTAGCAATAATACCTCCTAAAATTTCATGCTTAATTTTGCTAATATGTCCAACTTTTGTACTGCAATTTTTTTTTCCTTGAGATGCTGAAGAACAATGAAAAAAGTGGTGATCAAATAATAAACTATTTTCAGAACACTGTAGTTTTCTCCTCATGCTGGACAATGCAGTTTGATCTCTAGTTGGTGTAAAATCTCAGAAATCAATACTCCTCAGAAGAAAACGCCATTCAAGACTACTTGAAAAAACAAAGGTTATAGAGTATTTTAGCCTCTAGTGGTCAAGATGAATCCAGAAAGAATCTTTGGGAAGACAAAAGTAGGTGGGCGGCAGATAATAACACCATGCTAACGCAACAACAAGTCTGTGTTGAAGTGGAGGAATAAACCAGATACACCTGTCGTGTTGTTCAGAAGTCTGATTTCACAGAAAGTCTGAGAGTCGTGTTTTTATACATCTGCCGCACGTCAACCTGAAGGACCCAGTCTTTGAGGATACAATAGACTGTAGTCGTCAAGGCCGCAACACAGAGAGTGGGAGGGGATGGGACAAAACCATCATCCCTCGCTCTCATCTCTCTGTGTGCACGCTGCTTTCACACCCTTTGTACTGCAGTAGCAGCGGCAGCAGCAGCAGCACAAGCCGGCCTGCTCGCCTTTATCTGAGCTGGCTGCTTCCTTCTGCTCCTCTGCTTGCCGCACACAGAGTGGAATGCCTGTGTGTGGTATGGTGCGAGCGTAATTATAGTTTGCACAGCCAACCCCCCACCACCACCACCCCACTCCCACCCTCACCACACACACAGGCCACAACACAAGCTTGTTGCTTAATCTCAAGGTCGGCCAAACTGACAAGGGCTTGTTTGTGATCAAACAATTAGCTTGTTTGTGGAAGTCATGTCAGGTCTTATTGTCTCTATTAATAATTTCCCAGCAGCCATGTGCAAAAGCAAAGAAACTGTTATAATCGGGCACTGCGATTCTTAAAATCTCGTTAGATTTGGATTTAGCTTGAAACAGGAGTAAAATGTGTTGAGGGTGACGAAGTGTTGGTGCAACACCCAGGGCAATAAAGAAGTCTGTCACTGATCTCACGTCAAGGCGGTGATAAAACAGAGAACATCTGATGTGACTGAGGTTATTTGGAGCAAAGGAGATGCAGATTGTGAGAGTTAAATATGGTAGAAGTGAGGCAGGTGGAAATTTGTGATTATTAATGGCTGCATGTGGAGTGGATGGATTCAAACATGTTTTCAAATCTCTTGTTTTTATCTAAGATCCTTAAAGAAGTAATTTTCCATTAAAATGAATCATATGGTGTTTCTCAGGGTTCTGTTTTGGGTTCACTTCACTTTTCCATTTACTTGCTTCCTCTTGGTAAGATGATTCCTTTTTTATTTTTTGGTAAATATAAGTTCGCCGCTATGCTGATGACGCACAAATTTACATCTTCTGGCTGGTTCAGTACCATCAACAGCAGTCTTATCAATTGGAGTCCCACAGGGTTCTGTTTTGGATCCTAGATTCCTTTCCAAATACTTGCTTCCTTTCTCACCAACAAAATTAAGTTTGGCGAATTTCACCGTTATGCAGATGATACACAATTTTACATCCTAATCTATAGTATTTTATACACCAGGTTATAAAATACTCACTGACAGACTGCACAAGTGGTCAGAAATAGATTATGTGGCCTTACAGTGTTTCAGGTCACACCTAGACAACAGATCTTTTAAATCGAAAAGTTAAAAAATTTGCATCCTGACTTTTAACTTCAACCAAAAGATGTGCTTATATCACTTCAAATTTAGCAGCAGTAGTTTTTAAAATTGATTTTAAGATTTTTTTGATCACATTTAAGTCCTGCTATGAACTCACCCCTTCCTATGTTTCTTTTGTCCTGCTATTCAAAAAGAAGTGAGTAGATGTGTACCATAACATAGCTTGGCTCAGGTGTCCAGATTCTCTTTAAGTGGTTTTATGTCTGTACTATGCGGGTTCAACAACAACAAAGAGTCTGTCCAACCATATTTGGATCTGCATGTTTTTTTGCCTCTTGTTAACCAAGCTGGAAAAAAAATTAGCCTCAGAAGACTCTCATCAATTTCATTATTATTTTGGGGTGAAACAAACTTTTTGGGGGTAAAGTCTGGGTCTCTAAATACAAAACTACTTGCTTAATCAATAAGTATTTTCTTCTCCATTTGTTCATGAATGCAGGCTGTAATGCAGAGAAAAAGGAGACTCAAAATTTTATAAATAATGTATGAAAATGTTGGGCATATCAGCGTGAGTACACCTGCAAACATCAAACCTTAGTTGCGACCCCAAATCTTGCTGAAACCTCTCAGAGGCACAAACATGTCAGTCAGCGTTAGAGGTTATTTGTAAAACCGAGCGTGTGCAGGAGATTTCCTGTGAAAGCAAGGACTTTGAGCTGTATTCTGTCATTAATGTGTCAGTTTTTGCCTCCGCACCTTGAAGTGAATTCATCAAGCTTTGCTCGAACGCTTCACAGAAAATTTCTCCACACTTGGCGTTAAAGTTTGAAAGAATAAATGTTCCTGCTAGATAGAAAGTAGATTTTTCTTTCAGAGCACAGATAGTACCTTTCCTTAACACGGTCTATTGTTGATGTACAAAACATGGACGTACTGGTGACTGCCCACTCACTGGTTTCTGAGGATGTGTTTTGAGGCCAAACAATAGCATTGGAAATGCTGATTCAACCTGACTCCTGGTTCACCTGCTAACAAATAAAAGAGGGTGAACATCAACATCCCTGCCTGGAGTTAAACCCTTAAAACTGTGATAGTCATTATGCAAATGTATGCATAGTTTCAGTCCCTTCAAAACAGGTTTGCTATATGAAAACTCACTAGTGTGTACATGATAAAATCTATCACGATATCACATTTTAGCCTCTTGATTATCAAGGCCAAAATACTTCCTAATGTTGATGTTATCACCTGTCTGGTAACAGCAACTTCTTAAAGGGATATTCCAGCATAAAATTGATTTGGGGTCAAACACAACGCAACACCGAGTTAGACACCCCCTTGAGAGATGAATGTTGCAGACGGCTTGCTTTTCTAGTTATACCAACTTTAGTAACGACCGCACGATAGCAATACACAGTGGTCTGAGGAGCCATAAACAAACCTCAACCAAAACGCCACTCTATAGCCACAAATAATGCTCAGAACAGCACCTAACTTCATCAACAGTACATATAGGGTCCCAGCCATAGTAATAGCCATCAAACATCTTTTTAGCTTTGCCTAATTTCTTTAGCAAAGAGACTAAACACAACTCACCTACTCTCTTCCAACAGCCGCTTGTTTGTAGTGAGATCTCAGGCCAGTCCATTATGGACTACAGTGGGGTGACCAGCTCAAGGAAGAACATTTATGATCATTTCTTCATGGAAATGCAATCAGACCGAGACACTAAGGATGAAGAACTACCGTGTCTGCAGTCCAAAATGATTAATATGATGATTATTACTTCAAGGAAATAATAAAGAAATGATCATAAATGTTCTTCCTTGAGCTGTGTCACCCCGCTGTAGTCCATAATGGACTGGCCTGAGGTCTCACTACAAACAAGCGGCTGTTGGAAGAGAGTAGGTGAGTTGTGTTTAGTCTCTTTGCTAAAGAAATTAGGCAAAGCTAAAAAGATGTTTGGTGGCTTGTGCTGTGGCTGGGAGCCTATATATACTGTTGATGAAGTTAGGTGCTGTTCTGAGCATTATTTGTGGCTATAGAGTGGTGTTTTGGTTGAGCGCGTGGCTCTCTGTATTGCTATCCTGCGGTCGTTACTAAAGTTGGTATAACTAGAGAAGCAAGCGGTTGGCAACATTCATCTCTCGAGGGGGTGTCTAACTCGGTGTTGTGGTGTGTTTGACCCCGAATCAATTTTACACCGGAAAATCCCTTTAAGAGAGGAGACTGCAGCATAAAACTAATGTTTGTAATAGTTGTATTTTGATACTTTCACAGTCTGGGTTGCTTTATCTCTACATTTAAAAACATGCTTTTATATGACACAATGCAAATTTTCCTTTTGACTTAGTGCTGAAGCAAGGTCATGTTGGGCTCTAGGAAGCCTCCTCCACTGTTTACTGAGATTTTATTGACATGGCAATTAATCAGGAGATTAATTTGGTATTGTAAGTAACAGTTGCAGCTTCGGCTGGACTGCATGCTGGGAATAACAGAGCACGAGCTGTCGGGCTCAGGAAATAGCCACAGCCCAGTGAGATGAACCGTGGGGTTGTTGCTGGAAGCAACAGCGGGCATGATGGAGCGAGGGAGAGAGGGGAGTAGCCCACAGGACCTGGCAAGACTGCAGGGAGGCTAGGATCTCATTTTAGAGTTCGTCATCCAGATCGAGAAGTTTGAGCGGGGGAATCCATCGGGCTGATCGCATGGCTGCGAGCTGAATGAGTGAGGGAGATGGATGGAGTGTGTAAAAGGCGAGAGAAGTGAGGTGGAGAGGTGTGGAGTTGTTTATACACTCAAATGAGGCTGTTGGAGAGCGGTTGGTTGGAAATTGGACATGATCAATTTACCCACTTAGGTGGAGGTGGAGGTGGGTGTGAAATCATATGCTGATGTAGAAGACAGGGATTTTTATGCAAATGATCTAAAAGGAAATCTAACCCCGTGTTCTCCTGCCTCTCCACAGAATACCAAGGCGACTATTACGGACCAGGAAGTAACTACGACTTTTTCCCCCATGGCCCCCCATCCTCACAGGCCCAGTCTCCAGCTGAGTCCCCCTACATTCTGGGCTCTGGACCAGGAGCAATGGAAGGCTCGGGCCACCATCCTTCAGACGACCAAAGGTTCACAGACATGATCTCTCATGCAGAGACCCCCAGTCCAGAGCCGGGCTTACCAAGCTCCTTGCAGCCTGTCCCTGGTGAGGCGTATGGGGGCGGACCCAGTCCTCCATTCTCTTTGGCGAGTAACTCCAGCTACAGCGCCCCCATGTCCCACCAAGGTCCCGAGATGGGAGAAACCACGGCCTGGTAAAAGACAGACCCAGAACATGGACCATTCCTGGGCTGACAGTCAGCTCAGTTAATTCAGGAGAAAACAGAAACATTGTGAAGCGAAAAGTTCAGCTGGAGTTTCTACAGATGACTTTTTAAAATCACAGACTGATTTTCACGACTGACGGACAGAAGTGGAATAAAGAATGGGACGGCTCGCTGGAGAAACCCAACATCTGCTGCCCTGTAGACACTCCAAAGCATATCCTTTCCTGGATCACCGGACTTGAATTATTTTAAAATAAATGTTGTGATTCCACCCAGCAAAAACGCTTCATGCCTCACCTTCCCCTTTATGAGTTTTCACATCAACAAATGCTAAAAGGGACCTTTTCTCTCTTCAGTTCATTTAATTTGTCAACAGTGTTGTAGCCCAGTCACAAAACCTTGAGCCCTTGATGCGCCTTGAGTTCTCGGTATTAAACAGATCGCGATAAAGTGTCTATCTGATTCTGAGCCTGTTTTAACACCTATGGCTTGTTTACCTTGTCCCAATTCAGATAAAAAAAGGGAATCAATCGTAATTTTCTCATGCATACTGTTCGCACTTTGCAGAAGGGGAAACCTAGTTAGTATACAAACATGTTTGAAAACGGATTTATTTAGTTAGGAGAATGACACTGGACTTTTAAAATGCATGTAAACGTCAGTTCGACTAAAATTGTATGCTTCTCATAGTCAGACCAACATACCAAGTTAATGTAGTCAGGGATTCATTCTAGATTGCATATAAGCACCTCAAACTGGCACAAATGTTCTGGGTGCAATCCACAGTTAATCTGTAGAGTGAACTGACAATTAGCAGCATAAATTTGTTGCTAGGCACCTTCTGTGGCGGATGTGGAAATTTTTTTGGTCAGTAAATCAATTCTTGCAAAGACAGTAGTCAAGTTAAATCACCTAATCGACTTAACTTTACACGTTAACATCCTGAGTGTTTCAGAGTAAAGAGTTACCCTGTAATCTGGCAACTTCAGTTAGACACATTTGGCAACTTTGCAGCGCTGCACCTTAACTATTGGCGCAAGAGGAGCTATCCCCTTTGCTAATTCATATTTTTGTCGGTTTCATGTATTACCTTGCTTTCTTCTGCACAACTACTTTTCCACTGGTTACTGCCAGTTCATACACAGAACACTTTGGCCAATTTGAGTCTGATTACCGCATCTACATGCAAGAAAAACCAAACCCTGACCGCGCTATTTAGAGGTGATAGTCTGACTTCAAGGAATTTCTATTTTGGTAGGACTAACGTGTTTAATTGTACTGCAAATCTCAAATTCTGTTGGGTCTAATGAAATTAATTCATTTTTTTTAACATCAGGTAACTGTACCAGCTGAGGTCAACAGTGCATAAATGCACACCATGGATCTCTTAATTGAGAAATGCATGGTGGGGTTAATGCAACTGCCTAATAAACCAACACCTGCAACCCACCTACAATTAATCAGAACTTTTTAAACAATCTGATAGTTTGGACTCAGTCGTTTAGTTACTGAACATTTCTGTTCGCTTTCTGACGTAGTCGGCAGTCAAATTTAGCTAATGTTAGCATCTTTCCTGCTTCTCCTGGACACGATATTTTTTTTTGTAGGACGGTAGGGGAAAGTCCCGCCTCCTTAGCCTCTGATTGGCTAGAAAAGCTGGAAATGTCATCACATGCTCAAGCCAAACGCGGGCTGTCGGCTCTGTACATCAACCAGAACATTACAGAACATTATCACACTTCTGAATCTCCTAACCCTAACCCGTAACCCTCATCCTAATCCTAATCCTAACCCTAACCTGACAGACGATGACATGTCACAGCCATTAGGAATAACCAATTGGAGCCCAGCACTTCTAGCCAATCAGAGGCAAAGGAGGGCGGGACCTTCCCCTACCATCCTACAAAAATAACATTTCATCTCCTGAACAGATGCTTTTTGTCATCTTCTCTTCAATAGTTCCCGTACATCAGTGCTAATTTCATAAACAGACAGATGACAACAAACGTTCATCAATGACCCTTGTCTTGTAACAAAGACGAAACACACAATTCAAGGTATTATTTGTTGCAGGGTTTGTAACACAATTTAAGACATGGGTCGAGGCGTGAACAAGACAACATGTGAACTTGTGCAAGCCCTCTCTCTAAAATGACAAAGGTCGTAAATAAAAATTAAGAATGACAGAAAGTCCTTTCCAATGAATCAAGGTCCTTCATTCAGATTTCAAGTCTGAGAACAAGTCCAAAATTTGTGTTGAGCGTCTAAATTGAGTCACAAGTATTGAAGGCGGTTACTCGAGGCAGATTTGAGTCCAAGTCCTGGATCCAAGTCCTACAACACTGTTTCTCACCATGTTTTTTAAGGGCCATTTTTTTCAAAGCAATATTATTTCCTTCCCCATTCTGTTTCATTGCTCAGTTTCCATTATCAACTTCATATTACAAGACAAAGAAACCAGGTTTCTCACAGAGAAGTCAAAAGTCATATTCAAATATTCTTTACATTCGTGTGTCAAATCAAAGGCTGCTTTTTCACAGACACTGAAAACACACACACACACACACACACACACACACACACACACACACACACACACACACACACACACACACACACACCTCTGGCATTGACTTTCTCAAGCGTACGTCTTTGCTATAAATCCCTTAATGCACAAAAAGTGTTCTTGATCATAGCTCAAAAGAAAGATGTCTATACCATTATTCAAAACACGTACACAATTATACAGACACTTGTACTCGCTGAAGCATGCACACACACACACACGCACACACACACACAAAATCTCACACCCATCCAGCCCGGCCCTGATAGTTCTGCCTCACAGACTGCTTCACCTGACCTTCCTTTTGTTACTGTCCCTTTTAAAAAACATGTTTTAATGGAAATGATTTTCAAAAGAACATTGAACCCATAATGGAGAATCTCCTTCAACAGCTGAGGTCTCCTTCCTCTAAAGAGAGAAAACAAAAGAGGGGGCAGACAACATCTGTGACATTACTGCTGCACGTCTGCTCTGTAGCTCTCATTGCCATCTAGTGGCCTTAAAACACACAGAATTAAAAATATCAGCTCGGTCCGGCTGTGTTTACATGAACACCTTTGTGCTGCAAAGTACAAATTATGATTAATTTTCTTCCCTCTAAATAATGCCCATTCATAATTCTGCAGTTTCAGGGCCAAGTGTCTTCATATTCTGGATTTGAAAAGTCAGCCTTTGTTAAGCTTTATTATATCAAACAATAGGGTTGTCTCTCCTCACAATGCTAACGCTGAAAGGAGAACACAACTGAAATTACATTTGATCATCATCAAAAAAAAACATCACTATTTCAAATCTCCATACTTTTCAGTCTTCTGCATCAGACGCAACAAATGTCTTAAATCGAACACACTCGTATCTCTGTTTGTCCACAATGAGTTCACTTAAAATATTGTTTTGGAGTTTCCTTCAAACGTTGTATAAGATTTAGAGAGAATGTGTCTTATTTCTGATGTACTGAGATATTATGAAAGTGTGTGTGTGTGTGTGTGTGTGTGTGTGTGTGTGTGTGTGTGTGTGTGTGTGTGTGTGTGTGTGTGTGTGTGTGTGTGTGTGTGTGTGTGTGTGTGTGTGTGGAAAAAGGGAACAAGGCTGTATTATTTCTATGTAAATAGCACTGGTAATAAAACCTTCTCTTACAACATGAGGATCTAGTTTTCTTTCTTTTCCTGTGCAGGACACACAGGCATTTTTAAATCAAGAAACTAATATTTAACAGCAAAATTAGTAAAAATCTAAACATTTTTTAACAAGTTTCTCAATTTATATTTACTTCCACTTTAATTCTTGATCAGTGATACATTTTAATCTAAAAAACATCCTTTCTCTTGGAAAAAAACACTCTGATACACAGTGGCAGCTGGTGCGTTTTCTCCACTGGGTGCTGTTTATTCATATAAAAAGGATAGCAGATATTAATTCTAAACACATCAATTAAAAGGCATCTATCTTTATATTTGTGAAGCTGAATGGACATAAAATTGTAGTCTCATGTTTGCTGATGTTTTTTTTTTCGCATTTTTTTTTGAAAAGCTCAAAATCCCATTGACATGTCTATGCTCAGTCTACTCCTGATGTTTAAAAAAGGGGGAGGGAACCAGCTCATCCTCCTCCTCCTCCTCAAAACATGTTTTCCCTCTCTGTAGTTGTACTGCTTTTGAATAATATCAGACGGACCAGGCTCTTTAACTCTCTGCTTCTCTGTCAAAGATCCCCCCTGAAACATCGTTATTCTAAGTAGCTCCTGCAAAGATCCACCTCAACCAGAAAAGTTAACACTCTCTACTGCACAGTTCATATCTAAAACAGTATTACATTCAGCTATGTCTTAAAATGTCAGGTTTATCAGATTCAAGCTCATTAGCTCTCTGCTTCTCCTGCAAAGATGACCTCTCCTATCAAACAGCAATTTTTTCAGTGTGTCCTACAGAGATCTCCCCTCAGACTGTATAAATATCAGATTGTCCTGCAGATATTATCTCTAAAACAGCATTATAGCCAATTACTGTTCAATTTAACTGTCCAGTTTATCAGATCCAAGCTCATTAACTCTCTGCCTCCCCTGCAAAGATCCCCTCTCAAACATCGTTATTCTAAGTTTCTCCTGCAAAAATTCACCTCAACTGGAATAGCTATCACCCTCTCCTGCACAGATCATATCTAAAACAGCATTATGTTCAATTATGTCTTTAAACATCAGGTCTATCAGGTCCAGGCTCTTTAACTCTCAGCTTCTCCTGCAAAGATGACCTCTCCTATCAAACAACATTATTATCAGTGTATCCTACAGAGATCTCCTCTCAAACTGTATTAATTTCTAGTTTCTCCTGCAGATATTACCTCTAAATAAGGTTCAAGCTCTCTAACTCTCAGCTTCTCCTGCAAAGACTTCCTCTTAAAATGCATTTTTCTGCTTCTCCTGCAAAGACCTTGTCCTAAACAACATGGTTTGTTTTCTGTATTGTGGTCACAGTCCCTCTGTTACCCCCGCTTTTTAACAGTATAGGCCCAAACTTAGTTTTTTTTTAAATCAACAAATAGTAAGTGATGTTATAAGTCATCCCTTTTTTAAACACAAAGAAATACATTTTATCTGATTTGTTTATCTGAATCTTTGTTGTGCCAAAACACGACTATAATATATCATCACCAATATGTGCTTATTTTATCACCATATTCAACAGAAGCATTGTATATTTGATAGAAACATTTTTCTGCTTACAAAAACAAGTTGTTTCGAAGCGCTAAATGAGCAACAAAAGGCTGATGACAGGAAGTTTAAGATGGCTGTTGAACACTCTATCAAAACACAAAGTTATTTGTTCAAATGTAGACAATGACTTGATTAATTTAAGTTGTATTTAATCAACATTAAAATCAAGAAGTTAAAAATTTCCAAATACATAAAGATTAGCTCATTTTGCTGACAGTAGAGGTCGAGGATCCTTCTGAGGCCTAAAGCGTAAAGACCCCAGATTTCTTCCTTGCACAAAACTGACTTCAGTTGGTCGCCGCTGGGCAGCCCTGGTTTCTCCCCCCTCACCTCCTCATCCCCTTATCCTCCTCTTTATCCCCTCCTCTGGCTCCACATCCCCTCCTCTCGTTGTAGGGCCAGGTGGGCCTGACGGTGGCCCAGGTCTGCAGTAATTTTCCCCCTGACTGGTTTTAATGTAAAGGGTAATGTGAGAGGAGACAGGCAGACACTATGTGTGTGAGGATATATATTCACACACACACCAAGTGAAGGGGGATGTGGTCCTCAGCATCAACCAGTCCATTACCAAAGCAGCTCCATATCCTCTTTATTTATTTCTTCTTTGCTCCCCTCTGTTTACTCTCTAGAGTATTTTCCTCAACTCTGGTTTTATTACTCCATCTCCTCAGATGTGTTTCTCCAGCAGAGCGACACACACACACACACACACACACAAATAGACACACATACTCACAGAACACATTCACAAACACACACAAGCATGCATGGAAACCTGTGCTGTGATTCGAGCACTAGTACACCTCCACAAAACACCCTTGGTAACCTTCACCTTCCTTTCACCCAGTAGCATCTGGTTATCACGAAAAGGTGCATACACACACACATGCACACTTGTGCAACCTCTCTATCATGCACACGCACGCACGTTTGAGCATGCACGCACACACACATACACAACAATCCCATTAACATCAGTAGTTTTGTAATGGATGTGTTTGCTGTGCTGCTGCTGGAGAGAGGAGAGACCTGGAGTAGCTGTTATAAATCACTTGCTTGTTCCCCCTCCCCCCTTACACACACACACACACACACACACACACACACACACACACACACACACACACACACACACACACACACAGACCCTCTATTGGCATCACTACATGGGGCTCCCATTCACTAACACTGCAGACAAACACACACACACACATACATACGTGAATTTCTCCCCCTCCCACTCTCTCTACCGCCTGGGGTGGGGAAATCCTATTACCCTATGAAGAGGAGGAACACATCATTAATTACACTCACATACTCCTTTACACACACACACACACACACACACACACACACACACACACACACACGTCTATATGCCAAGCTCCATTGCAACACACACACTCACCCACTTAGAGTAAATCACAGCGACTCATTCTGGCACCAAACTCTTATTTTCAGCTGCATCATGCTGCCATATTTTTTATTTTTTGTATATTTCTCTGTCAGCTGCACCCTGACAGGTAACATTAGAGCCGAGCTGGTTTATCTGATCTCACACACACACACACACATACACACACAGACCTCCGCTTCAGCAAGGAATATGTCAGGAAGCGTGAGAGGGAAAAAAGTTACGATCGCCGAGAGAGATTTCAGGCAACATGGACAGGCAGGCAGATCAGGGAGTGTCAGAGTGTCACCCTCAGATTTATCCGGAGCCTCAACAGCCTTCTCAAGGTTTACAGGATAGATGGGTGCCATAAAGTGATACATGCACACCATAAAATGAACAGAGGAGGAGTAAGCCATGCATAGCCAGGCTGTCAGAGAGGCTGTTTATGCACCCAGGTGGGCACTTTTTGGACACATTAAGTCACGGCTGTCAGAGCAAAAACAGAACAAGAAACTTCTCCTTCGTGACAGAGAGAGACACAGCTGATCTGCATTAAACAGATTTATCATGATTATGGACTATAGCGAGTTGAACTGGTACATTTTTTAAACAAAGCCAGTCAAACTTAGTGATGGGCTAAAATGGGAAAAAGAATTGGTAAATTATGACGACCAGCTTGTACGCCCCTATGTTAAAGCTCCTGTGAGAAAGTTTGAATTTAAGCCTATTTTAGCGCCCCCTGTGGACAAAACCATACATATTATTGTTTTTATGTCCTTTAAATCGTTTTTCACCCCTAAAAAATCTCATGCTGCTGTCTTTGAATAGTCAAATATAGACTATAGACTAAATAAAGACTGTAAGAGTTTAAGATTTACATTTGAATTACAGTAAGGAATCAGTTGAGAAGCTCTGCACATGCCCAGTTCCACCTCTGTTGGCACATGCTCAGTCAGGATGACCTCACCTGTAGAAAATTTGACCTTTGTGCTGTTTTCAGAAACTTTAACCTCCCGAAATCAGTCTTATATCAAAAATGACAAAATTTAGAGTCAATCAATCAAATAAGAAGCAACAATTACTCCTTTTGGTCTGTTTTGGTGAAACCACATAATCTAAATAAATAGAATAAAATAATACAATCCAGGAACATCCACAGAATCATTATGTGTTTTAATTCTGAATAGAAAAGTCTCATTTAACCTTAAATTCACCAGTCAATATTTTCACACAGTGATTTAATTCTATTCAGTAATTATGAACGAATGATCAGTCTTTAATAATTACCTATTTCACAAACTGTTCATATAACATTTAGTAATGATTTGAACACATTTTGCCCATTTTTGACCTGTTGTGTATATCAAATTTGTTGAAAACAACCACCAAATGACCCTTAATCCATTTTTTCATTATATTTTATTTCTTCTTGCAGTCTTTGAACTGCTTACTATAATTTCTCTCATTTCCATTGTGAATTAGAGCTGCTCTTCCATGATCTCTTAAGTTACAAAAAAAAGGTTTACTGACTGATTCGTTGGTAGTTTAAATGAACTCTTAAATATACAGATACTCATTATGTACCTGCTTAAATGTACTTTATTTAAAGGAATGCTGCACAGAGACATGATTTCAACGGTTTAAAGAGTTTAAAGTGTAAAGGTGGATCAAACCATCATAATTAAGAGAGACAGATATCATCTTCACAGCGAATGTTGAAGAAAATACAACACACAGCACAAGGCTCAGACTGAACTCTGCTGCACGACAATAATCCTACACAAACTTTAGAAATTATGAAAGAAAAACATCCAGTTGTATGAGAAAATCAATAAACCAAGATGCCAAATAAACAGAAAAAATAAATACATGAAAAGGTTTCATGGTAAAGGAGTCTGTCTTCAGTTAAAAAAATAAGGTTAGTCTTTAATGTTTAGACTCAGCGTCAAAAGAAGACGCTTTTCTTACTTCTTTTTCACCTTTCAGACTTTTCTTTCTTTTTCTCCGCCCACA